ATATACACCCCCAGCCATAGATACACCAGACTCTGGGTAAAATAAAAAAAAGTAGGCAAAGAGAAATTCTCTATCAAGAGGTGGGATTTTCTTCCATAGCTGTCTTTTTTTTTTTGACATCCAAGGAAGACTCCCCTCTTGACTCCTTAGAGGATATCTCTGTCTACAATGCTGGATAGCTTTTTAAGGTCAACCAAGGGTATGGATAATCCTTTAACCAATCAATGGCTAGACACTATTATTTCATCAGATTCCTCCAATAATGGAGGAGCTTCTTCATATCTCCTAGTGGAACAAGAAGTCTAAACCTTCCATTAAACTTCCCTCAAGACATTAATATCTTACTGTCTTTGTTTCCTGTCCCTTAAATCCTTAATTTCCTCAAGTGAGCTGAGGGAAACTCAACTGAGCAGGGGTCATTTGATCAATTCTTTGATTCCATTCTCCCCTCAGTTAAACATTTGCTGTCCCCAGCAAGTCAACTGGGGTGCTTTTTGGCACATTTGTCCCTTTTCATAATTTTAAAAGCTTTCTAATGACTTGGAGTGGCTTAGGCATTAGTACGTTGGAAACCTTGCCCTTGTGTCTTGTACATAAGAGTACTAAAAGTCTATGTGGTATAGTTCTAGGACAATCCAGAAGCTAGCATTTTTTCATTGGTGTCCAGATCTACCACAGCTATTACAGAGAGTAACTGTTCTAAAACTTACAGGCTTAGAACATTGCCTGGGGGCATGCTGAGGTTAAGTAACAGTATGACATAGTAGAGATTTGACCTCGAATTCAGGAAGATCACCCTCCAAGTCCTACCTTTCTCCTCACTCTCCCATCACCACCTCCCCAACATATAATATACACTGTTCCATACAGCACTTTTAGGAGGAGGGTTTGGGTTGCTATGGAAGCACATAAACAATAATTAAACATTTTAAGATGACTTGACAAACATTTATCAAGCATCTGTTTTATGCAAGGTCCTATGCTAGGAATTAGGGATACAAAGATTGCCCTCAAAGACCTCATATTCTATTGCAATTCTATTTTAACTGGCAAGAGAATGGGCATCATAGCCCATGGTCATCTACAGTTAAGACAGGATCAATGTAAATAGAACCTTCCATACAGTCATAGATCCACAGAATGGCCAATGCTACCTGTAGATAAAAGGCAGGTATGTAGTACAGTCAGGAAGACTTCAGTTCAAATCTGTCCTCAGTAAATAATTGTGTGACCCTGGGCAAGTCACTTAACCCTGTTTGCCTCAGTTTCCTCATCTGTAAAATGAGTTGCAGAAGGAAATTACAAACCACTCCAGTATCTTTGCCAAGAATACCACAAATGGGGTCACAATGGAAGAGTAGGACTTGACTGAACAATAACATTACTTGTAGATGAAGGCCAGATCCTCAGACCTTCCCTAAGGCTATGCAATTCTTTACTGAAATTTCTCCATTAATTAAAGAGGTACTGGGGTTAAGGGAGTAGCTTTTCTTTTAAAATGCAAATGCTACTAGAAATCGTAAGGAGCCTTGCTGTCATTTACATTTTACTGATAGGCTTTTCTCTTAACCTTTAGCTAAAACCCCAGTTCAGAGGAAATGGGGACTTTGATGTGAAGGAACTAATTTTGGAACATAAGGCACTAGAGATAGAAGGGAGGAAACAGAGGGAGGGCAGACCTTAAGAGAGAGGGCAATGCAGTGAAGATACTTTGGTCATTCACAGGGCAGCATGAAGGTACAGGAGAATGGAGGGAGGTGGGAGGTAGTAGGAGAATTCCTGAAGGGGAAAGGGATAATAAAAGGAAGTTAGGGGGATTCTTAAAAATTACTTCACTGACTTCCTAATTTAAGAGGACTATTATTGGGCAGCAGGGCTGAGATTTGGGTAAATACATGTATGAGAGATCTGAAATAATGTTGCAAACTTTAGAGGGTCTATTTGTATTTAAAAGGGGTATTTTTCACAATCTTGTTCTCTCTGGAAGGAAAGAAACAAGTGTTTATTAAGAACCTACTATTCTAAGCATTATGCTGAACAAACAGTATCTTATTTGTTCTTCATGACAACCCTATGAAGTATGTGCTATTATTATCTACCTTTTACAAGTGAAGAACGGAAGCAACTAGATGTTAAGTGACTTGTCCCAGGGTCATACAACTAAGGGTCTGAAGCAATATTTGAACTCAGGTCTTCTTGACTTCAGGATGAATTCTCTATCCTCTGTGCTACTCTGTACCTCCCTTTGTTTGCTGGAATTCTTAAGATGCCTTTTTGATATTCAAGGCTGCAGAAAAGAATAGTCCTATTTCCTCCCTCCCCTCTCCCCCATTAAAAATCAATCACAACTGTGATAATAACTTCAAGTCAGATCTTTCCACCAGTAACTCAGTCACCTGGGAAACAGGGTGATACACAGCTACAGCCCAGAGAGTGGGAAGCAGTGAGAAACATACATTTCAAAGCTTCTGATTCCAACAAGTTACTTCAGTTCTCTTTGAAAACTCTAATGCAATGGTCCTTGTGATAAAAAATCAGGAAACAGGAATAAGTCACAGATTTTCCTTTTTACAGAGGAACACTTGGCACTCCTCCTCCATGTTAATGTTTTCATCAAAGACCTGAAGTTATTGCTCTGAGCCTCCTGTCACCAAAACTAACACTGTACCATCATATGAGGAATGACAGCAAAGCTCCAAAGAAAGAAATGATGGCTGGGATATAAAACGCACTCACACCATATACAATCATTTGGATTGAAGATAAGCTTATGTAACCTGCTAGAAGAGAAGGGAATTCCCCTCAGTATAGTGTCTGCTGTACCCCCACATCTTTTGGGGTCATAGGATTCTTGGGATCTCTTAAGCCCTGGTCACAGCACCCTCACGTGGCTTTGCCTTATGAAATAATGACCCTATGGTCCTCTAGAGATAGAGGTATTTGATTGAGGATCATGAGCATATAAACTCTAGGAGAATTCCTATCTCAGAAATATACAGGCCAGTCTATCAAAAATGATATCTATAAAAATGAAAATAGAATCTTTAGCAGTAATGCTAATTGTAGAAAACATATAATTATTTGAAAACATGTTGTTATTTCAATTTTAAAAAATTTGTTTTCAGTTCTGAATCCTCTTTCTTCTTCCAGCTACTCCCCCATCCATTGAGAAGGCAAGAAATATGATACCCATTATACATATGAAGGAAAGACATACAACTTATTAATATTTATCCTGAGTCCAATAGGGCCTGCCAGAACTCAAAAGCACAAGGACTTCCCAACTCTTAGCACTGGGAGAGAAGGAGAATGAAGGAAGAATGGAAAGAGGAAAGGAAGGAGAGAGTAAGAAATAGGTTCCTGATCATTTCCTTGCTCACCAGAAAAGAAACCTTTTATTTGATGCTGACCAGAGAGGTTGGGGGGGTTGTTCTTACAATCCCTTACTGGTTTACCCTTGGAAAAGGGGAGACCTAGACTAGAGAGCCAGTATAGGCTGCTTCTGACTTATGGCTTACTGGAAAGGGAAAAGAAGTACAGGTTAAGAGCAAACACTCCAGGAATGGCTCAAACCATACCTGCTATTTCTAGTCAAACTAGGTCATTGCTTCCAGGTACCAATCCTCCTGCTGGAGCGTGGGGTCAGACCTTAGTCCCAGCCCCATCCTCCTATGGCTACTTCTGCAGGTTTAGAATGTGGAGATTCTGATTCTAAAGCCATCCCTTCAAATCAGTCTAGGTTACTATTTGAGTCTGTAGCACTGAATCAGAAGGGTCCTCTCCCATTCAATATTGGAAAGTTGCCCCTCAATCCTGTGACCCATTTGGGTACCATTCCTCTACTAGTGAGCTAGGTAGAAAAGTTCTTCCATGGCTCTTTCTCTGTTCAACTAGTTACGTGTTTGATATCAACCATGATATTTTAAAGAGCAGAGAGACTGGCAATACAGGTATGAGGAATCAATGAACCTTGATGTTACCAAGATGTGTTGAGCTGGGGAAACCCTATAACAATATCTATCTTAACAATTCATGATACAGTTGAAATTAGTTCAGCTTCTCTAGAAAGCACTTTATAACTATGTCCTCAAAGTTATTAAATTGTGTATATCCTTTGACCCAGTGACTCTACTACTAGGTCTATGCCCCAAAGAGTTTGAAGAAAGTACCTATGTGTAAAAAAACATTATAGCAGCAATTTTTGTGGTTGCAAAGAACTAGAAACCAAGGAGGCTGCCAATCAATTGGAGAATGGCTCAATAAATTATAGAATATGAATATGATGGGATACTATCGTACTGTAAGAAATTATGATAAGTACAGTTCCAAAGAAACCTAGGAAGACTTGTATGAACTAGTGCTGAAAGAAGCTAGCAGGATCAGGAAAACAATACAATTACAACAAGATTGTAAAGACAAACAATTCTGAAAGACTTCAGAATTGTGATCAATACAATGACTGACCACCATTCTAGAGTACTCTTGATGAAGAATGTTGTCCAATTCCTGACAGACAGATGATATTCAGGGTACAGATTGAGACATATATTTTTTGGCTAATACAGAGATTTGTTTTATTTGACTGCATTTTTGTTATGATGGTTTGGTTTTTCTTTTTCAATGGGGTCATAGGAGATGGGAGGGACAGAAGGTAGATTTTTGTTAACTGAAAAAAATTAAACTAATGCAATTAAACCATTGACACCAAAATGTTCTCTTTTCCTTGCGGCTACCAACATGTGAGCCTAAGAAATTCCACACCTTGTCTAGTTTTAACAATGTGACTTTTACAGACTATGTACTTTAAGTTGCTATTTTCTATCCCTAACAATAATTTTTTGCTGCTACAAGACAGACCTGACATTTTAAAACCTTTTTTAAAACCTAAGAAAAAGGCTGGAAACCTGGGATCCTGCTGTTAATGGTCACTGGTGCAAACTAGACCAATCTTGGAACTCTAGCAGAGTCAAGAGATCAACAAAGTGGAGAGTAGTAAATACCTGATCCAGCTTCCAGTGGAATTCTGCTGGTCGAAAGGTATCTGCTTGGTCAAAGTCCTTCCGCAAAAGGAAGACAAGGCGGCAATTATGCACATAGAGGGCATAGTGATGTCGGTTCATTTCTGGGGGAAAAAATTAAAAAAAATAGGAAAGAAATACAGAAGCTAGTATCTTTAGGTCCCTCAGAGAATAAGCTTTTAATTGGATTGCTGAACACAGTTCAACTAACTAAAGAAACAGATTTTACATTTTCCTGCCCTACACTATCTCTAATGTACATTCCAGGACATTCAAAGCTCATGTGATCTCTTACTATGTTGGGTATAATTTACATAATATACTTTCTAACATAATTGTGGGTGTTTTCTAAATCTGGAAGAATTACTAATTTAGGGATCAGTTTTCTTCTTCAGCTTCCTAACAAGAGCTGAGTGAACTATCTTCTCTAATAATTCTTCTGTCGATTATTTTCATGTATCACTTGACCAACCCCCTTTGAATTCCAGTGTAGATACTTTAAAGGACAACAGTATGAAACCTACATGGCTTATCATTGTTTGCTATGGCTCTGTCCATAGTAATTTAGCCAAATTGGCTATACTTGAAAGATTCCACCATTTGCAGTTCTCCGGAGTGGTAATCTAAATCTCATACTGTCACCCTTACTATTCATCAGGGTCCTCTTAATCAATAAAATTCTGCCTATCATTCAGGCGTTGCTATAATCTGGCTCCATCTTACCTTCCTACTGATCTCCTATACCTAACCTTGGCTTCCAGTTTACTTACCGTCATTGCACAGACCTTACTCATTTTTTCATTCTTATCTTCTAAACCTTTTTTTTTTTTAAATGCCATTCTTCTGTTAGGAATGCCCTCCCTATCACCTTCTCCCCCACAACCACTATCAAAATCCTATCCATCATTCAGTCCTTAACTTGTATTTTCCAATATTCCATCTAACTGCTTTAAGTCACTCTAGTCCCTCCTTTTGCTGAACTCCTACTGCATTTAAAGTTAGTCCTTATTTTCTAATTGTCACATACTATGTTCATTTTATCTAGTGAATAAAATCGTAAAGCTGTTTAAAAGGAGAGACCTTGACTTGACTTTTTTTTTTTATGGCCAGTACTTCCTAGCACAGTGATAGGTATCTGATGACTGAGTCAGAATGCTTTAACCTCTAAATCAGTGATATCTTTTCAGTGCTATCTTTTATCTGAGGATCTACATCAAACACAGGGACATGAATTTTGGCCTCAATCCGCCTGTTAGATTTGAGTCATTGGTCAGAGCACTCTGATAATTTCTGAGGCTCCAGTTTGGTATACTTAAGTAATCACAATTTAAATGGTGATTTTTCCTTGTGCCACACCGTTAGTGCTGGGCTTGGAGTCAGCAAGAATGACATTCAAATCCTGTTTCTGGTAATTACCGTTAAATTTGTTGTTCATTTATGCAGTTGTATCCAACTCTTTGTGACTTTGTTTATCATACTTTCCATGAGGTTTTTTGGCAAAGATACTGGAACTGATCTGCCATTTCCTTTTTCAGTGGCTTAAAACAGAGGTTAAGTGACTTGCCCAGGGTGGCACAGTTAGTAAGTGTCTGAGGCCAGATTTGAACTCAGGTTTTTTTGACTCCAGGCCCAGGGCTCTGTCCATTGAGCCACTTAGCTGCCTCCTAACTATTAAATTACCAAGTAAATTAACCTCTCTGAACATCAGTTTCCTCATGTATTAAAACTGAAGTTCCTACATTAAAGGGCCATTGTGAAGCTTAATTGAAATAATTTATGGTAAGCACTCTGACAACTTTAAAGCCTTTATCAATGCTAATCTAGAAACAGCATGGGGCAATGGATACAGGGGTAGCCTGTGAGGTAGGAAGACATGGGTTCAAGTCCTAATTCTGACAAACATTGTTTGTGTGACCATGGGTTAGCCATTTAACTTTTTAGTGTCCTGACTAACTAGCTGAGACTATAAATTACAGATAGCATCCCTATAGAGAAAGTTTAGACACTAGATAATACTAGTTATTATCACACATTATTTCTGATATTTTTTGTACAGAACAAGTCTTTATCTTTGGAAGTGTAGGGAGAGAGTTCAAGGAAGGGATGGTCATATCTCAGGGCTTAGAGAGACCTTGGATCTATCTAAGGGGTAGTTTTCAGCTAAAGAGTTTTAGGATGGAACAGAGCCATCTCCATCTAAACACACATTGCTCAGAAATTCAACTACAAACAACCAAAGTTTTGGCAGCTGATGTCAGGTATTAATTCTTATCAGGGCAATTAGCCTTAATTCTCTTTATCAATGCTTAAAAATTCATCAGACAAAAAGGAGGGACTCTGTCTCAACTTAAGGACAAGATATAAGGAGTTTTCCAGGTCAAAGGAGGAAAGTAAATGTTAAATGTTAAAACTTTAAAGAGTTTATTCTATCTATATTAATGCCGAAAAATCAAGAAAACTGTTCCTTACCTTTTCTTAATTGGTTCAATTATCTTTTTCCATTGTCTACACTGAACAAATATAGGTAATGTGCTCTAGTGAAAAGAGCCTGGAACTTCAGAGTTCTGGCTCTGTCAGTAATTAACCATATGACTTTAGGCAGGTCATGGATCTTTTTTTAATTTTTGTCTTAATGACCATCTGCACAATGGGAATGATAATAACTGCTCTACTGACCTCACAGGGTATGTATATGTGGGGGTGGGGGAGGAGAAGGAAGGGTCCTGAAATATCAAATTAGATGATAGATGGGAAAACACTTTGCAAAAATAAAAGTAGGATGACAACTTTAAATAACATCCTGTAGGACTTTGCATTGTATAGCTAGAACCTATGTCCTATAGCTTTCATGTTGCTTGGTACTACTCATGTGTTATTACTTTGTTATCTCAGATGATAAGAACTTGGTGCTGATGAGACTGAGATAATGGCCTCAAACTCTTTATGGGTCAGTGGGCATCTCCTTTGATGTTACTGCACTAGTGGGCATGAGAGCTAAGCAGAGTGAAGATAGATATGTAAGCATATTGAAGAGCATATCGCTGTCACCTTTCTCTCCGTGTTGTTTCCACTCTCCGTTCCAATAATCACTTAATCTGGGGATCATTCATGTCCGCCTCAGAACTTACAGAGCAAAACTCTTAAGGGAAGTCAAGAAAAATGACAGAGACTCACCAGTTTTATCTGAATTGCAGAGAATGGTTTCTTTTTCTGCCCTCACTCCAGGGCTTGGGCCATGTTTCATCCACATGGTGATTGTGAACTGGTCTGTTAAATTCTTGGGGACAATCCCATCTGGAATCTTTGCACCCTGCTTGCCATCGAATTTGAAGATCATGTCATTATTGTCCACCTGAAGTCCAACTGTCCAGTTGGTGGCTGCACTGGGAGAAGGCAAGAGGTCTATGGCTCCTGAAGAAGCTCCTGCAGGGGTTACAAAATCAAGAAAGCCAAGGTTATACCTGAGATATCTGCTCTGGTGTCTTTGATCATAGGGCCAGAATCACTCAAATAACATCCCTGTTCCCCACCCTCTTCTCTGTCTCCTTAATACTAAAGGAGATCAATTATATTTCAAGAAGGGATAGAAGGTAATAAACAAGGGATTATTTGAGTTAAAGACCACTGGTGTCTGAGCTAAAAACTGACTAAAAACTCTTTTACCCCTTAGAACAGAGGTGCCAAACACATGGACTGCAACACTTTAAAGTGTGTATGAGGCCTAACTGGATTAAAACATATTTGGAAAATACTTAACAAAATTAAAAAATAAATAAAACAAAATTAATGTTAAGGTGTGTTTTTTTAAAAAGTCAATATGCAGCCTTTAGGGATCCTCTAACCCCCCTACCCTACCCTTTTACCCCTGTTTTTCTTTGAGCTTGACATCACTGCTTTAGAACATCTTGTATATCTCTGGTCCTCTGTTAGAAGCTTTAAAGTATAAAACAAGTCTGCTATCCTCAAGGTACTTACAATCTAGTTAGGAGAAAAGACTAATATGTATGCAAAAACAAATGGCATAAGACAGTAATAACAATAACGAATATATGGCATTTTAATGTGTAATACTGAAGTTAGTTTTCCCTTCCACATCACAACTTTCCTCATCATGGCTTGATATATCATGGGTCAGCATAAGAAATTAAATGGGAATTTTTGGGGAGTTTTGGGGAAGCCACAGATGACACACAAAAGCCAGCAGACAACACAAAAAAGTTTAGAAACTCAGAAATGCATGAAATACACATATAGTATCATATAACATCAACATATTTTATCCTTTAATGCCACAATAATTCAGACTTCTTCTCTGGTATGAAGGAAGGACCAAAAAATTTTATGTGGATTTATGTGGGGGCTCCACACCCTAACCTCCATGATGTGGAAGGGAAAATAGTAAATGTCATCTGGCATTTTAATGTTAATGTTTAATGTTTAATATGATATTTTACAGAGTACTTTATATATATTATTTTGTCCTCACACCATCTCAGTATTGTATATGCTATTATTATCCTCTTCTTAGGTTGATGAAGTTTAATAATCCACCCAGGGTCACAGAGCTAGTAAATGTTTGAAGTAGAATTTGAACTCAAGTGCTCTTGGCTTCCAGGTCAGTACTCTGTAAATAATTAGGGGCATTATTGGGTAGCATAGGAGTAGGACACAGGAAAGGAGGACATCAAAGAGAGCTAGCAAAATCATTGTGGATGAAATACTTGAGCTGAGCTTTGAAAGAAGGAAGTGTTTGGGTACTTTAGCACAGTGCCTGACATATAGTAGAGGCTTAACAAACTTATTGACTGATTATTGATTGATTGATTACCCAAAGGAGAAGAGGAGCATTAATTATTGCTGGACAAAATAGATGACTTCCTTATCTATTGCTGGTTTTGTTCTGTTTTTATTTTTGTATCTTCAGTGCCTAGCACAGTGCCTGGCACATAGTGGGCACCAAGTAAATACTTTTAATAGATTGATTGACATATACCCAAACCAACACACATGTGTTTGGATCAACATTGTACTCTACACCTAACAATGCCCGTGGCTAAAGACTTAATGCATCCAAAATGCCATTTGTGATTCTCAGTTAATACTCTAGTGGAGAAGCGATTATTCACTACAGGTTTATAAACCATTAAATGGACATTTATTGAACACCTACTGTATCCAGATTACCACAGTATATGTTGTGAAACAAAAACTAAATCCCTGACATTCAGGGGTTTACAATCCTGTTGGTGAAATGAGGCATGTATGCAAATAATAATGATACAAAATAGAATGTGACAAATGCTAGAAAAGAGGGGCATAATCAAAGTGCTGCTGGAGATGGGAAGGGAAGGCCTTGTATCTGAGCTGTGACTTTTGTGATGGGTAGGACTTCAAGAGGTGAAGATGATGGAGATGTCCACTGAAAGAGAGGCAAAGTCCTGAAGGTAGGAAGGAATAGGACAGGACTGGTGAGTATTTTAGTTTGATGGGAGTGAGGAAGAAATGTGTGGTCAGCCTGGAGAGATAAGCTGGGACCAGAAGGTAAAGGATCATAAGTGGCAAATAGCAGGCAGGATTTAAAAATATATCAATAGAATAGAACCTGATTAACCCTAATAATATGACAATTAATACAGATAAATGTAAAATCTGACACAGGTTCCAAAATCAAATTCCCAAGTGTAATAAGGGGAAGTATGGCTAGGCAGCAGGTCATCTGAAAAAAGATCTGGGAGTTTTAACAGACTTAGGGTGATAACTAGGTGCAGCACTAGATAGAGCACCAGATTTGGAGTCAGGAAGACATCAGTTCAAATTTATCCTCAGACACTTTCTAGGTATATGATTCTGGGCAAGTCACTTAACCTCTGCTTTCCTCTGTTTACTCATTTGTAAAATGCAGATAATAATACCTCTCAAGGCTGTTATAAGGATAAAATGAGATACCATTTGTAAAACATTTTGTAAATCTTAAAGTACTATATAAATGCTGATACTACTACCATCACTCCTCCTCTTCTTCCTCCTCCTCCTTCTTCTCCTTCTCCTTCTCCTTCTCCTTCTCCTTCTTCTTCTTCTTCTTTTGTTCTTCTTCCTCTTCTTCTTCCTCTTCTTCCTCCTCCTCTTCTTCTTCTTCTTCTTCTTCTTCTTGTTCTTCTTCCTCTTCTTCTTCCTCTTCTTCCTCCTCCTCTTCTTCTTCTTCTTCTTCTTGTTCTTCTTCCTCTTCTTCTTCCTCTTCTTCCTCCTCCTCTTCTTCTCTTCTTCTTCTTCTTCTACTACTACTACTACTACTACTACTACTACTACTGCTACTACTACTACTGTTGTTGTCCTTCATTCTTGAAGACCCAAATGACATCACTATGTTGGGGTCAAGGTAAAGTGTGTCTGCCTGTGGCAGATCAGACCAACATGAACTTAGACACAAATAGTCAGGTCAGACACAAATAGTCCATTTGAACATTTGGGATAGAGATGTCTCTAAATTTGCTCTTATGTTTCTTTTGAGCTACTGCAATTTTGCTTTGCTCACAGAGCATCCCCTTTTCTGATGAGGACATTTGATGCCGGGCAGTCCTGTGCCAGTGTCTCCCATGTCTCCCAATCGATTCCAAAGTTCTTCAGAGAAACCTTGAGAGAGTCCTTGTATCACTTCTTTTGTGAGTGCCTGCTTCCTCCTCCTCCTCCTCCTCTTACTACTACTACTTGATGGTGATTGTAATCACCACCACTACTACCACTTCTATTGCTACTACCACCATCACTACTACCATTCTTCCTCTTCCTTCTCTTAGCACTTTTACTCCTGCTACTATTACCACAATTTCAATATAAGCCAACTCTGATCGAGAATGCAATCTTAGGCTTTGTTAAAACATTATTCCTAGGTCTATCTAGAGAGATTGCTGGATAGCAGCCAAAGTATATTGTTGAGTTCTAGGTGCCACATCTTAGGAAAGACACTGAGAATCTAAAGAGCAACCAGAGGAGGGTGACCACGATGGTGAAGGGCCTAAATATGCAGTTCAGTTGAAGGAATTTGGGGTGTTTAACTTGGAGAAAGACCTTGGGCAGGGAAGCATGATACCTGCCTTTACATAGTTGAAGGGCTGACATGTGGAAATGTGATGAGCCTTGTTTAGTGTCACTTCTCAGGACAGACCTGGGAGCAACATCTGGAAGCTGGAAGGCAGATGTGAAGTAAAGAAAAACTTTCCAATAATTAAAAACTCATTCTAATTAGTTTCTAATTTCTAAGTCTGGGATGGGATGTCTCAAGAGACAGTGGCTTATTCCCTACTCAAGATCTTCATACTGTTTGATGTATTGTAGAGGGGATTCCCTTTTGGATGTAGGTCAGACTAGATGGCTGCTCCTGTCCTTCTCAACTCTGACACTTTTGTGTTCCTGAATTTGGCCTTTTTTCAGTAGGCAAAGGGGTAGGAGTTGGCATGACTACAGTTGTGATTTAGGGAGAGTAATCTGGTAATGAATGGGGCAAGTACATACGCACATCACCAAATAAATGCTTATTTGATGGATTTAGGAGGCTGTTTTGGTAGTCCAGGGGAGAGGTCAAGATGGCCTAAAATGGAGTGGCAGCAAGAGGGATGGAAAGAAGGAAATAGACAGAAGGGATATGTCAAAGCTAGAACAGACAGGATTTTAAAGAATCAAATATCATTTCCCTTAACCGTGAATGTTTCCTAAGACTCTATCCTGGGTCACCCTCCCTTTTTTCTCTAGACATTCAAACCTGATTGATTGATCAAAAATAAGCCTGAATGACTGGGATGATGGTGACATTTTCCCAGGGGTATCTGTACCCTAGACATTAATTCTAATTGTGAAATGGAAAACTTTACCCCTCAATGAAGGAGTTTTAGACCTCAGGAAGCATGTGATGTTGGGTTGGCGGACAAAGACCATTTCTGGGTCCCATAATCAAACCCCTCCAGAAGCAGTCACCTCCTTTTCTTACATATAAGGCTAGCTATAGCAATGGAATCACACATTACAATCCCTCAGAATCCCTTTTGTTGTTCTATTGTTTCAATCATGTCTGATTCTTTGTGACCTGATATAAAACAGGTATTGTTGTAGTTGTTCAGTCATGTCTGACTCTTTGTGACCCCATTTGGGGTTTTCTTGGCAAAGATACTGGTTTGCTATTTCCTTCTCTAGCTCATTTTACAGATGAGGAAACTGTGGCAAACAGGGTTAAGTGACTTGCCCAAAGTCACACAGCTAGTAAGTGTCTGAGGCCAGATTTGAACTCAGGAAGATGAGTCTTCCTGACTCCAGACTCAGGACTCTATCCACTGGCCCCCTACCTGCCCCTCAGAAACCCTAGTTTTCTTCAAAACTAAGGTCATGTCACCTCCTACATGAGGCTGTTCCAGATCCCTCTAGCTGCACATACC